GGTTGGCGTGGTGCTCTCAGCAACCGGGCCAGTGTTTCCTTTGGACATTTGTCATCATCCTGGCAAAATCCTGCCCAAAAAATCCCGCCTGTAGCACAGATGGAGTTTCCAAGGCTATGGAATTTAGGACAATCGCTGGTGAGAGGCGAAACTCCAGCAAAACCTTGGATTTGCTTTGGAGATTCAGGATGATTTATTTATTTATTTGGATCAACTTGGCGCTGGCCACGCTTTAGGTAGAAGAGACCGGGATCACATCCTGACTGGTGCTGTGGGGAACGGTTAATTGCTTCACGGGAATTAGCATTGATTAATTAATTAGTTGAGTTGGACCACTCAAAGGAGAGGATGGCGAGGAAGCACCGGGTTCTCTCCCACATTCTGGGATGGGGGAATTGGGAGTGATGACTGCCCACGGGGCTGGAGTGGGGCAATGCCGTTTGTGTGTGATGACACTGCCCTCAGACACAAGGAAAACAGGAATTCCCACCTTTATTTCACCTTAGTCATTCCATGAAGCGCCTTGCACGCAAATAAACTGGGAATTACAGTGGTGGGCGAGGGGAACAGCAGAGTCCTGGAACCCACTGCGTGGTTTTAGTGCTCCCTCCTACCCCCGTCGAGTGTTTATAACTCTGATTTACTATTTCAGCGCTCTCTGCTCTCCCCGTGATGTGTTTAACCAGTCGGTCCCGCTTCGAGGCACCCAATTTTTTAACGCTCTTGCTGCTGATTTTTCTCGGGAAGAACCAGATCCACACCACCGCAGGGTGGCTGCGAGCACCCTCAGAGCTCTTCCCTCTGCACGGGTGTCCCAGAGCTGTCCCCGTGCGGCGCGTGGCCGCTGTCGTGGTGGATGTTGCTGGCGGCCCTGATGGCCGATTTCATGGCCGTGTCGATCCAGGCGTGGGGCTGCGCCGCGTGCTCCCCGGCAAAGTGGACCCGGCCCTCGTGAGTGAACAGAGCCCGCGAGTAATCCACGAACTGGTACGGGGTGAAGGCGGCGAAAGCCCCCAGCGAGTGCTGGTCCAGCTGCCACTTCTGGATCACGTGCTGGTCGCAGGTGTACTGCAGGTACTCCTTGCTCACCTGGTGGATGTCGGCCAGGTCTTGGAGCACCACATCCAGGCACTTCTCGTCTGTGAGGGGCAGGAAGAACTCGGCATCGTTGTTCCAGGTGTAGGAGGCCAGGATGACGCCCACCCCGCTGGAGAAGTTGTGGCTGGGGTAGTAGATGAAGCGGGAGGGGCGGTCGGTGATGGAGTACCCTCCGCGGATCCCCTCCTTCTCCCAGAACTTCTCGGAGCACGCCAGGATAATTTTGGAGGCGCTTGCGTAGTTGATGGAGCGCAGGGCGTGGGCCTTGGCAGGGGACAGCGGCGGCAGGAACTGGATGTGCCTGGTGGCTTTGGCGCTGGAGGTGACAAGGACGAAATCCGCAGTGACGATGGTCGGGGCCAGCGTGTCGGGGGCGCGGTAGAACACTCGGACTTTGTTGCCCTTCGTCATGATCTTTTCCACAGTGCAGTTGAACCGGACAACGTTGGGCAGCGCCTTGTGGAAGGCTCTGGGCAGTTGGTCGAACCCTCCCGTGATTTCATCGAAGCTGGAGGGAAGGAGAAGCGGGAGGCGTGGGAAGGACGCCGGGGTTTAGGGAGTGTAAAAACCCGAGCTCTTCTGGAGACACCAGCAGAGCCTGGAGGCCCCATCGAGCCGTGAGTGGCTCCTGTTTGGAATCACTCTGACATTCCCTGTTGTGAGAAGGGGTTGGGCTCTTCAGAGCACTCACCTCTCTTCAGAGAAGATGCTGAAGTCCCACAGCGAGGCGAGGAAGGACAGGTAAAACCCCGAGTCCTCATTCAGCACATCCCCGATCATGTCAACAGCTCCTCGGCTCAGCCCTCCCACCTTGATCAAATATTCCTGGAGATCCCAGGAGGAGACACAGCCTGAGCTTGTTGCCTCAGTTAGGGCTCCACTGGAGCCATGCTGGCCTCTCTCAGCAGGTTTTTAAGTAGAAGGGATCATTCATAGGGGAAAAGCATCCAAAAGGTGACAAAAGATGGGATTGGAGTGGCACAGACATACCCTTCTCAAAGCAGGGAGAGCAGGTTAATTATCAAGAGCTGGGATTAAATTTGCCCTCGAGCCCAGGCCCATTACCTTGGTGGAGAAGGAGTCGTGTTGAGCCAGATACTGCCTGCAATCAGTGGTCTGGAACTTCTTAAAGGCCTGGAGAAGAAGCATCGATATTTTCACTGGGAAAAGATCCATTTCCCAAAGTGCTGCCCAAAATTCTCTCAGGATTTCAGGGTTTGGTAACCCCTGAAACTTCTGGACATCAAATTCCAGGCAGCTGTGCTTTGGCGTGGAATTTTCTGCTCATCCAAGTCCCGGTGGACTCCTTCCAAAGAATTTCTTGTCGACAAAGAGGGGTTTTGCAACCACCTGCCCTTGTTTCTGAATGAACCTCTCCGCTTTTCACTCCAGAAGGATCCTGTCCTGCCCCAGCCTAGGGCTGGGCGTTCCGCAGTTCATGGCCAGGTGTTCCCCCAGCTCATGGCTCAGGTGAGGGGACCCCACGGGCGACCCTCGTACCTTGTCCAGCACCTCCCGGTACAGCTGGGTGGCGCTCTTGCCCCTCTCCGACGGCTTCACGGTGTAATTCAGGATGTCGGGATTCCTGTCCGCCTCCTCCGCCCTGACCCGAGCGCCCTTCAGGAAGTACCAGGTGTTGTTGTCCCTCTGGATGAAGGGATTCAGCTTCAGGTTGAACTGGCGGATGAATTCACGGACAAGCCTGGAAAAAGGGCAGAGCGATGGTGCCGAGAGCCAGCACCAACCGCTCGGCTCTGCCTCCCAAGCCCTTCGTCCCCTTCGTGGGGATGCTGAGCCCCAGGGGAGCCGTGGGGATGGTTCGCTCCCCGAACTGGGCTGGTCCCTCACCTGACCACAGGGCTGGACACGCGCTCACCTGTGCTTGCCTGGCAGGCGCATGGGCCCCAGCTCCACGTACCAGTCCTGGCCCTCGGGGCGGAACGTCCGGATCCGCCCCCCGACCCAGCTGCTCCTTTCCAGAATGGTAACCTGAAAAAAAAAATTGGGTGGAGATTGGAAGCGTTTGGGGAATGGCTTTTTCTGAAGTAGAACACCCCCAAAGCAAGGTGCAGAGGGTGGGACAGGTCCCTTTCAGTGAAGCACCTGCAGATCCAAACTCTCCTCTGTTGGCCGGGACAGCTCTGCCTACGGGGCAGTTCCTCATTTCCCAGCTCCTGGGCTGCATTTGGACACCAGCTCCGGTGAGAAGGTTCTCGTGGTGGTTCGGGATCAATCAGGGCTTTGAAAGCAGCGCCGATCTGTCCCTCCGTGCCACGGGAACCCTCTCTGACACTCACAGGTGCCTTGGGATGGTTTGGAAACCCCCGGGATTTCTGCTGCCCCGGAGACAGAATGCAAAGGGCTCGTTTTTGATTTGCAGGAACCAATGTCAGGGGAAATTATGGGAGACAAATCTCCTTCCCTTCCTTCTTCCACCACTGTGCTTGACCCAGTGCATTTCCTTCTCCCTCAGCAGCCTGGAAGACCTTGGGAGGAGGGAAAGGAAGCTCAGGAGAGGATTCCCTGAGGGATTCCCACCTTGTGTCCAGCATCCCGGAGCAGCTTGGCTGCCGTCAGCCCCCCAATCCCCGCGCCCACCACGACCACGTGCGCCGGGTGAGCCGCGGGCTCCAGCCCGTCCCGGGCAATCTCCAGCAGCTCCTCGTAGTCCTGGTCACGGAGACAATACTCAGGGAAGCACGGGAAGCGCTTGGCGCTCAGGACACCCGCCAGCAGGAGGATTTGGAAGAGGACTGGGAAGGGAAGAAGAGAAGGGAAGGGAATGATGCGGTGCTGGCACTCAAGGTCATTGCCGATGGCACAGACAAGGATGTTGATATCCGAGACCTAAAAAGAGGAACTGGGGTGTTCGTGAAATCCCTGGCACCGGCAGGTCCACCCTGGAAGGTGTCAAGTGATGTCAGTGTTTTTTAGGATGATTTTTCAGCTCTCCACGTTCATGTTCTGCCTGTACGGCTGCCGTGGTGAGTTCCCAAAATGACTTTGACCTCCTTAGAATAAGCTCCAAAGCTTCCAAGGACGGTAATTAGTGTCACTCATGTGCAAAGAATCAAAGCACCTTTTTGTCCCCAGTGACCTTTCCCATACCTGGGTAATTTGGGGGAGTTTTATGTGAAGGGTGGAGGGAAAAGAGAAGATTGGGCAGATGGATCTGATGGAGAATTGCACAGACAGGAGACACGGAGATAAAACTTCACAGAAAGATGGACAAATTAGAGGGATGAAGAGAGATGGGATTTAAAATTCTCTAATTAAATTTTTTCGCTTTATTTTAGAGAAGAGAATTTTACTCTCCTTTAAAATTCCCTCCTTTAAAATCCCCTCCTTTTAAAAATCCCTCCCAATTTGAAATCCTCTCCTTTAAAATTATTGTGTCTTTGAGATGCCCACAGGGAGCAGCAAACTCCAAAATGACCATTTCCAGCAGAACACACCAAAGGTTATTTAACTTTTTCACAGTAAAAGAAAATTTGGGCTGGGAACCACACTCTGTCCCATCCCATCCCCAACCCCCTTGGGGATTTTCCTAGTTTTGGTTTCTGTTTTTCAAAATAACTAAAAAGCAACTTTCATTTTCATTTCCTTCTCCTGAGTGCTGCCAATTTTCTTCCAGGGAAAAACTCAAAGCTTTGGAAACCCTCCTTTGGGTAATTCTCACCGCTGGAAAATCCCTGGGGATTGTGGGGTTTTTATCTGGAGCAGCCCCGGCTCTGCCGCGGATCCGGGGCGGATCTACCAGGGATCCACCTGGGAGCCTTCGGCACCCAAGACCTGGGGCAGGTGTTTCCACAGCCCCTTGAGCTGATCCGGACACCAACTACGAGGGTAAAAAATATTTGGGAATATTTTATATAATATCCAGTTGTCCTCTCAGCGGTGGGACAGGGTTGGACTGACCCGCCCTGATCACAGAATCGTCACGGCTGGACTGGAAAAAGACCTAAGGACAATTTGGGAGATCCCGTCTGGAGATCCGAGCACATCCCCCGGAATGGGCTCCTGCCTGGATCTCCACCTTCCATCGGGTGTTTTTTGGGAAGATGTGGAGAAACCGCGACTTGGAGCACGGGGGCATCCTCCCGGCTGGCCCTCCGAGCTCACGCCGGTTTCCTGAGGAACCAGGATCCCCCCACGCCCCAGAGCTGGAGCTGCCCCCTGCCCACGCTGCCTGGAGCTCCGGGTGACCGTGGAATATTCCAGGTGGAAAAAGGGAGGTTTGTGGCTGTGCTCTCAGGAGGCGCAAAGAGATGGAACCAAAACACCAAACCCGGACACCAAAGATGAAAGAGAAAAACCCACGGGGAGCTCAGGATTGAGGGGTGGAGTCACTCACCAGTCCCAGTCATCGCTGCAGGAGGAAGATGAATCCTCTGCTGAGATTGGAATTCATTTTATACCCTGGCTTATAGGAAAAAAAAAACAAAACCTGATGCCTCCAAAAAACCCTCTGCCAATCGGTGCAACCCGGAAGGGAGTGAAGCGGGATTTGTCATTAGAAGGGGAACCAGCAATTGAGAGGAGTCAGTTCCTTCTCTTTTTTTTTTTTTTTTTTTCCCTTTAATCACTGGAGTAAAGCCACCAGTGCACTGCGTGTTCTGGGATGTTCAATGTTCACCCCAACACGGTGACCGCACCCTGCTCCACCAAAGGCTGCAAGTTCCCAGAAGGAAACAATCAGGTTTGAGGTTTTTTCCTGGTATTGCACAAAGGATGCTGAAATCGGAATAATTATCACAGGGATCCTTCTGAACCCGGGGGACACCTTGAGCCGGTATTCAAATACGATTTCAGGGATGAAATCGAGCGTTTCCCGGGAAAATTCATCTACTGGATGCTCTTGGGTGTTGACAATTTTGGCTTGATCTTGCCTCCATTAGAACAGAGGGGATGAAGAATTGTTTGAGTGGGAAGGAGACCTCAAAGGTCACCCAGAACTTCACTGAAATGATAAAAAATGAGTATTTTTCTAGAAATGAGACCAGCATTTTTCCAGAATAGGGAGCCTGGACTTGCCAGAGCTCCATAAACTCATCTGAGGATTCATCTCTTCGTTCTTGGACCCAGAGCTCGAGCCTCCTGCTCGGAGCCAACGCCCTCACCGGGCTTCATCCTGTTCAACCACCACAAAACTCGGGGGTTTCACCGAATGTGATCATAAAATAACTCGGGGTGGAGGAACATTCAGTCAAACAAAATTTAGGTAGAATTCTGGAGGCTCGTGCCAAGGGTCTTTGCAGCTTGCATTTATGGGATCTCCTGGTTTAGCTGGAACTGTGACATGGAAACGGGGGGCTTGTAGTGCTGGGTTCCAAGGATTTCCTTAGGAGAAGCCGCAGTGTGGGGTTTGCCCAGAATTTTGCTTTTTTGGTGGAGCGTGGGGGAGTTTTTGTGGTTCCCGGTTGTGCAGGTTTGAAGGTAAAAACCAGCCGGGGAAATGAACCCCACGCAAACACCTGGTGAGAGATATTAAATCATAGTTACAATTCAATGGAAAAATTACAGTAAATGCAACGGATACAGAAAATTGGCTTAAAACCACAGAGTACAGCCTGGTGCTGTGAGCCCGTGGTGGCCACAGTCTGATTGAGCAGCAGTTTGTTCCAGTGCTGTTCCAGTGATGGTTGCAGCCTTAACTTGTGGCCCTGTGGAATTTCTGGCCCTCCTCTGGGTCCGTCCAGTGGCAGTGGTGTCCCAAGTACTTAGATTTGGTTTTGGATTGGATTTAGATGAGATGTGGTCAGATTCAGGTGGGACATCCACCAGGGCTGGGGATGTCACAATGCAGTTGTGCAACCCTACGAGTCATAGGATGGTTTTGGGGTTCTTGACAGCTCTTGATGGCAGGGATGACTCCTTCCAAATGGGTGTCACTGTGCTGTCTTGGTTAAAACTGGGTGACAAACACCTTTGGAAAGTTTCCTTTTAAGAAAAACTGAAGAACTGAAGGTTTTTCTTGATTTTTTTTTTTTTTTTTTTTTTAGAAAACATACCCCTCGGTTTGGGTGTGGTTTTATGTTTTATGGTTTGTGGTTTGCTGCGTGTTCCCCTGTAGGGTGTCAACGCTGAACTTCCAAAACCACGTATTTTCTCCATCTGGAATAACAAATCCTGAGGGATTTGGGAATTGCACAGCGAACCTGCACAGATACACAATCCCAGGGACAGCAGGGAGCCTGGAGCGAGGGCACCTGGTGTCACATCGTCCTGATAAGTCCAGGATTAAAGCGTGTCCCAACAAGTTGTTTTGGGATCAACCTCAATGATGGGGATTTACTTTCTGGGCATTTGCAATCCACCAGTTGCAAAAGTTGTCCCACCCATCTTCCTGTTCCCATCTGTTGATTCCCCAAAGGTTACGGGAAGCTGATTTTCTGCCCGGCACCGGTTGCATCACAATGCAGACGATCAGAGGGTGCGAGAAGGGATGGCGATTTCTTTCCAAATTGCTGTTCGCTGGCTTCAAGGTTGACTTTTCTTGATGGAAGCAGTGGGGAAAAAAAAAGTGGGATTTCATTCCGCATGTTGTGTGGGATGTTGGAGAGCACGTGGAATGGAGGATGATGTCCACCCAGGAGCGTTTCCCTGGTGAAAAACGACATTTTTCAGAGATGAAAAATGGCAGCGTATGTAAAGCACAGGAAAGGAAAAACCCGTGTGGATTTGTTAATGAGGTAATTAGCTTTAATGAGTTTCTGGGCCGGCAGGCACAGGTTGGAGAGGTTTGGGCAGGTCCTGCTGAGGAAAGATGCCCTTTCAAAGCATTTTCTTGTCCCTCACTTCCTGCTTGCCCAGAGGATTCCCAGAATACACATGTTGCATGAGGCAAAGCTTCTGGGATTGGGGGGATAATTAAGAAATGAATGAACCACGGAGGAGTTTCTCGGATGAAACTGTCCAAAACTGGGGCTCTCCCCACGGCAAGGATGGAGGAAATTCAGAGGAGGCCACGGGGACGCTCCCAGGCCGAGGAAGTTGGGGTTTTCCTGGAGAACTGAGGGTTCCTTACTGGGGGGGTAACACTGGGGCTTCCAGCGTTTGAAGGGAGTGGATATGACAGGGACAAATTTTTATCAGGTATAGGAAAAGAAAAAAAAAAAAAGACAGAAAATTATATTTATGTAATTTATAATTTATATATTACTCTATAAATATAAATAAAGATATATAATTTATAATTTATATATTTAATTAATTTAAATTATATTAAAAAATGAGTTTTTAGGAGAAATGTGTGACAGAAGTGGGAACCCACGCCTCCACTTGGAGAGCAGAATTCCCGCAGCAGGGGCTTAAGTGCAGTGCCTTGGCCACTCAGCCATCCTGACACTGCCAGGTGCCTTCCTCACCCTCCTCATCCTCAAGGATCCATCCTCCCAGCTCTCCTGCTTTCCTGCTCCCTTTGCAGCACCCTCCTCCCCCAAATTTTATTTCGTTTTCCCAGCAATAAACCTCATCCCAAACTGTTTTCTACTCCATAGTGGTGTGGGATGAGGGGAATTCTGGAGCCGCTGGCCCCTGCAGCTGCTCCCTGGCGGCTGCTGGAGCCCTCTGGGGACCCTGAGGATCCGGGGGTTCCTCCTGCCCCAGCCTGGGAGTTTCGGGGTATTTATCCCACCGCGTTTATTATGGAGTTGTTATAAGCAGACCACTTGGAGTTTCGAGGGGAGAAAAGCCTCTTATTTTCACCGGGAAAACACCATCAGGGCCCCTTTTCCAGGTGGAAAACAGGAATTTCTTCCTGCCTGCTGCTGATTAGGAGCCAGCAGTGTCCCGACACCGGGAGAAATCCCAGCGAAACCCTTCCGCATTCCCAACACTCGATTCATCCCTGCTCCTGCTCTCCCAGTCCTCAAACCCTCCGGGTCCCAAACGAGGGGAGCATGGGGGGGGGTCCCAAAGGCTCTGTGGGAGGTTTAGGGACGGGTCCGGGGCTGGGCTACCTCTAGAGGGCTCTGGCTAAGCCGAGCTGCTTCTCGTCTCTGCTCTCCCTCCCGGATACCGGCTTGGGCTTCCGGAGCGGAGCCGAGCTCGCCATCGCCTCCATTGTGTCCCGCTCTGCGAGGCTTCGTGGTCCAGGGCGTGCAGGGGGGGTCTGGGCTGCGAACGGAGGGCGCTGCTCCGGAGGAAAAGGCCCGAGGAGCAGAGCCGGGGCCGGCAGGTAACGGGGAGAAAGAGGAGCAGGGATGCGGCTCCCAAAGCGGGGATGCTCCCGGCGGCAGCGGCTCCTCTGCGGAGAGGACAAGGACGGAGAGGGAGCCCTGGGCTCCGCAGGGATGAGGATGAGGATGAGGATGAGGATGAGGATACAGGGTCCCGTCGCTGATTACCGGGGGCATGGTGCTATAAACGAGAGACAAAAGTCTCGATATTCAGCAAAATTCAGGTTGTTTTATTTGATATAGAGAGAGCTGGGGAACGCGAGGGGTCACCGCCCACTCCACGCCCCACCGCACCTCGGTTTGCAGCCTCTCCTTATACTGTGGGTTCTCGTTGTAATCTATAATTTTTGGTTTTTTTGCTGTCACAATTTTGCCAGGTAAGCAGTGGTGGTTGAATAAACATCCTTACACAAATTCACAAAGCCTCCGGGCGATAATCAGTCACAGATAGCCATCTGCTCCTTGTAGATAACCACCAGAGAAGTTCTGGATGTCTTGTCCTTGAGATAAGCAGCATTGATCAGACAGGAAGGCAGGAAGGGCTATTGGGAAGTCTGATTTTGCAAGCTGGGAGCCGATACAACTTATTTGGAAAACATGATATAATATAATGTAACAGAATACAACATAATATAACGTAACAAGGTGATTTTAAACAGAATGATTTTACCATGTAATTTCCTTTATCTAGTGTCCATGCTTCACTTCAGAGCTTTTATACAAACCCCAATGCTTTTGTGATTAACACGAATCTTTTATCAATTATCCCAATGGGGACGCAGAGATTGTTGTGGGATGGGGTCTGCCAGAAAGGTGGCGGGGAAAGCAGAGACCCTCCTGCCCCACCGTTCCCGCATTGCTGTGGGGACGCTCAGGGCTAGTCCTGGATGGAGGGACTGTGAAAACCTGATATTCCTCGGAGTGACCACGGGAAAAACATCAAATCTCGAGCGGCAAGCTCTGTGGGGGGGTGGGAAATCCTTGATTTCAAGGGATTTCTCCTCCCTGCAGGGGATTTTGGGGAGCCCCGAGGGAGGAATCTGCATTTTCCCGGTGCCTCCTCCTGCCATGGAGCCGTGGGTGCTGCTGGACCCGCGGCAGAAGGCTCTGTACCTCGATGTGATGCACGAGAGCTACGAGACCCTCATGGCCCTGGGTAAGGACACCCAAAAAAAATCTCTCTTTCTTTGCTGTTTATCCCCCTATCCTTTCCTTGCTCCAAGCAAAGCAGTTTGGGAAGAGGGGTGGAGGGATCTGGGCAGGTTTCCAGAGGGACTTCCCCAAACCCCAGCCCTCTCCTCAGTTCTTTTTCCTCAGAAAAATGTTATTGATCCCTCCTAATTTAAGTTGAAAATTCTGGTACTGGAGTGTCCTTGGCATCTCCACATTTCCAGTTCAAACTGGGATCAGCTCCCTGTTGTATCTCTCTTCCTCTTCCTCTTCTCTGGGAGAACAAGATTTTTGAGGGGAACCCTGTTTGTTGGTCCATTGTTTTAAATCCTTTAAATCCCTGCTCAAATCAGGGCCATGCCTTCCCCTTTTCCTCCTCCTCCTGTTTCGCAGAAGCTCAGGGGATGGGGAGTGAAAAAAGTGAAATTTTAAAGGAGAATCGTGTTGCTACTCCACTCTTTCAAATCTTGTTCGTCACGCTTTCACCTTTTCCTGCTTCTCCCTTTTCCCAGCAGCTCAGGGGCTGGTGAGTGAAAAAGCTGCGGAGAGCGGAGCATCGGAGAGCAGTGCTGGGCACTCATCCCACGGCCTGGAGCAGGAGAAGCCCCTTGGCTCCAACAGGCGCAAAGCAAAGCGCCCAGACAAAGCCTTGCCCCCTGGGACCCCCAAACCCACCATGATCCCCAAACTCAGCTGTGCCAAACCCCTGCGAGGAAAGGGACCGGCCCGGGAGCGGCCGTTCGGCTGCGCCGACTGTGGGAAGAGTTTCCCGTGGGCATCGCACCTGGAGCGGCACCGGCGCGTCCACACGGGCGAGCGGCCCTTCGGCTGCCCTGAGTGCGGCGAGACCTACAGCCAGAGCTCGCACCTGCTGCAGCACCGCCGCACCCACGCCAGCGACCGCCCGCACAAGTGCGGCGACTGCGGGAAGCGCTTCGCCATCGCGGCCGAGCTGGCGGCCCACGGCCGCGGCCACGCCGCCGACAAACCTCACAAGTGCGGGGACTGCGGAAAGGGCTTTGTGTGGGCGTCGCACCTGGAGCGGCACCGCCGCGTCCACACCGGTGAGAAGCCCTTCGGGTGCCCTGAGTGCGGCGAGGCTTTCAGCCAGGGCTCACACCTCGCCAAGCACCGCCGCAGCCACACGGGCGAGCGGCCGCACCGCTGCCCGGCCTGCGGGAAGACCTTCTGCCAGAGCTCCGACCTGGCGCGGCACCGCCGCATACACCTGGGCAGGAAGCCCCTGCGCTGCGGGGACTGCGGGAAGCTGTTCCGGGCAGGGCCAGCGCTGGCGCGGCACCAGCGGTGCCATCGCCGGGAGCACCTGCACCGCTGCGCCGACTGCGGCAAGGGCTTCGTGTGGGCGTCCCACCTGGAGCGGCACCGGCGCGTCCACACGGGCGAGCGGCCCTTCCCCTGCAGCAGCTGCGGCGAGCGCTTCACCCAGAAGGCTCATCTGCTGCAGCACCGCAAGACCCACTCCCCGGAGAGGCCCTACAAGTGCGCTGACTGCGGAAAGCGCTTCGGGGAAGCCCCCCCGTTCCTGGCGCACCAGCGTGGCCATGCCGTGCACAAGAGCTACACCTGCAGCGACTGCGGGAAGGGCTTTGCCTGGGCGTCCCACCTGGAGCGGCACCACCGTGTTCACACTGGCGAGAAGCCCTTTGAGTGCCCCGAGTGCGGCGAGGCTTTCAGCCAGAGCTCGCACCTCGCCAAGCACCGTCGTAGCCACCTCCCCAAGGCGGTGGGGCCATCGCCCCTTGCCAGGACACGGCTCGCTGGGGACATGCCTGAAGCTCACAGCGGTGAGGACTCCTAAGGACTGAGACCCCCCCTCGGTGTGATGGATGCGGAGAGAGACAACCGAGGGAAAACTTGCCGTGGAGACAAGCCAAAGGACACCAAATGACACTCGAAGGGCACGGGAGTGGGTGACAGGGGTGCTCTGTGGTGACACAGGGTGGCTCTGATGTCTCCCCACGGCAGTGGGTGAGCATTGCACCTGCTGCAGTCCAGACCCCAGAAAAGGGACAGCCTGGGGGAGAAGGAGCCTGTTCCCGAAGGAAACGGCACTTGGCTCCATCAGGGAAGGGTGGGGGAACCAGGACTGGTTCTGATGTGAAAATCCAGTGGTGTTGTGCCCACTTCGTGCTGCCAGCGGATGGGAGAACGGAATGGAGGGGGCAAGATGCTCAGGGTGAGCAGGGGGTGCTGGCACAGGGCAGGAATAAACTGGGAGCCCTGCAGCTCATGGACACCCGTCTCTGTCTGTGCTCTGATGCTTTCCCTGCTCCAGGCAGGACACCCCACAAGCGACTTCTTCCCCAGAGACAAAACCACACGGACAGACATGGAGAATTTTTGCTTTTTGTCTTAACTACCTTCTACTTTATTAACTGTCAGTCTAAGCCCAGGAAACATGGCCTGGCTTCTCCAGCATTCCCACCTTAATGCATCCCAACCTGTCCTTTGTAGACCCCCAGCAGAGTCTGGGGAGGTCCCAGCAGTGCTGGTGATGGGTACAGGTCCCCAGGGCTCTTTTCCGAGCTGTTTGGCCTCAAAAATCCCATGGTGTGGTATCACCTTGCCATGCACCCAAATTGTGTCCCCCCCTTTTACCTCCCTACTAGTAGGGCAGATGATGAGGAGGGTTATAAGGAAAAGTGTCTCCCCACCACCCCAAATTATATCCACCTATCCCCTAATCCACCCTCAGCCTGCCTCATCCCTCCTCTCCCTGTCTCCCCCCCAAAACCCTCTTGGCAGGCACGGCTGCCCCTCCCTGTGCCCCCTTCCCACCACATCAACCCCCATCCCCACCCTGACTCTCATTTTGGGGTATCCTGGGCCCCCCAAGCTGGGGTAAGAGCACAGACCACCCTCTCACCTTGGCTGTGGGGTGGCCCCAGAAGAAGAGGGGGACTCTGAGCACCCCAGCCCCACCTCAGGAGCTGGGAGAAGGAAGGGACACCCAGGGCTCCGGTGGGGCTGTGGCATTGCTTTGCGTGTTGTCCCCCTCCCCGGGCCTCCATGCCCCAGTGAGGGGCAGGAGAGCTTTAGCCACCCAGCCCCTGGGCACTGCAGAGGAGGAAGGCGTGGGATGCTTCTGCAAAGCAGAGCTGGGCTCCTCAGGCCAGAGCTCAGGGGGTGTGCTAGTCCCCCCTCGTTGTTCATCCTGCCACCACGCGGGAGGCAGCAGGGACAGGGGGCTGCGAGCGCCGGCACCGTGCAGACGCCGATGGGCCGCCAGGGCCGCGCCGAGGCCGAAGGCTTTGCCGCAGTCGGGGCACTCGTGGCGCTTCTCGGGGCCGCGCTGGGCGTGGGCGCGTTGGTGCCGGTTGCGGTGGGAGCTGCGGCTGAAGCGCTTCCCGCAGTGGGCGCAGGAGAAGGGCTTCTCCCCAGTGTGCGTGAGCCGGTGCCGGTCGTAGTGGGAGCTCCAGGAGAAGCCCTTCCCGCAGAGCCCACACTGGTACGGCTTCTCGCCGCGGTGCAGCCGCCGGTGCCGCTCCAGCCCGGTCAGGGAGCTGAAGCCCTTCCCACACTCGGGGCAGGCGTGGGGTCGGCCGGGCTGGGCGCCGTGGGTGCGCAGGTGCGCCCGCAGCGTGGAGCTGACGGCGAAGCTCTTGCCGCAGTCGCCACAGCGGAAGGGCCGCTCACCCGTGTGCACTCTGCGGTGCCGCTCCAGGTGGGAGCTGACGGCGAAGCCGCGCCCGCACTCCCCGCAGCGGAACGGCTTCTCCCCGGTGTGCACGCGGCGGTGCCGCTCCAGGTGTGACACCCAGCCGAAGCTCTTCCCGCACGCCGCGCACGGGAAGGGTTTGGCCGCCGCCTCTGTGGCCGGTGCGGCGTTGCCGGCGTCGTCGGGCGGCTGCGCGTGGCCGCGCTGGTGCCTGGCCAGGGCTGTGGCCGCTGTGCCGCAGTGGCAGTGGCGTGGGCACTGCGGGCACGGCTGCAGCCGCTCGCAGCGTTTGAGCGGGCCCGAGCTGTTGCCGAAGGACTTCCCACACCGCTCGCCGGTGCCGGCCGGCGGGGTCTGCGTGCCCTTGTGCTGGAAGCGCTGTGTGTCTGTCCGGTGGCCGAGGCTCTTCCCGCAGTCAGCACATTTCCGCGGGGCCGGCGGTGGCTCGCCTTGCGCCTCCACGTCCTCCTCATGCCCGGTGGCGACGTGGGTGCGCATGTGGCGGTCGAGGTGGGAGCTCCAGGCGAAGGCTCGCCCGCACTCGCTGCACTGGAAGGGCTTCTCGCCGGTGTGGACGCGGCGGTGCCGCTCCAGGTGGGAGCTCCAGGCAAAGGCCTTCCCGCACACGCCGCACTCGAAGGGCTTCCCGCCCAGGTGGCTCTTCTGGTGGCGGGCCAGCGCCGCGGCGTCGGCGAAGCTGCGGCCGCACTGCGGGCAGCGGTCGGGCCGGGCGGCGCCGGGGCTGTGCGTGCGCCGGTGGGTGAGCAGCGAGGAGCTGACGCTGAAGCGGCGCCCGCACTCGGGGCAGCTGTAGGGCCGCTCGCCCGTGTGCACACGGCGGTGGATGGTGAGGTCGGAGCGCTGGATGAAGCCCTTCCCGCAGTCGGGACACACGTGCGGGCGGTCGCCGCTGTGGATTTTCCGGTGCTTCACCAGGGCCGATTTGTGGCTGAAGATCTTTCCGCACTCGCTGCAGGTGTTGGCAGCGTGGTTCTCACTCCGGCTCACGGGGAGCTGAGGGTGCTCCCTGTGGGGCTTTTCCTCAGCAGGTTCTTCCTGAGGCCCTTCCTGCCCTGCTCCTACTCCATGCTCTGTAGGCAGGGACAGCCAGACCGAAAAGGAAAGGAAAACCGAAAAATAAAGTTCCTAATGAATGTGATGGGTTGGAAACATTTCTTTATTCGACATTCCTTTGTTCAACGCTGAAGGTTCATTGGGATCACTCCAGCAAAAGTATTATAAGTTTGAACTATTTACGTATTTTAGCAGAAAAAGGCATTAGCGCTCATTGCCTCACGAGGTATGTAGTTATCTTCATTAATTAACGTTCTATCTTCTATCCACATTTTCCACTTTCTCATTACCTTTTTTTCCCCCGGAATGGGCATCTCTGGTTTTATGTGAAGTGTCTTTGTACTTTATAAATTTTACGTTCCTGGTATTTGGTTCTCAACAGCAAATTTCTCTCCCAGCTTTTGTTAATTTCCTCCTCTAAGTCTGAGAGCAGTGTTCTAAACTTTTAATCTCTTTTTCTAACCCAGAGTCTGCCCATCATCCGTTACCTGTTTAATGGATTAAATCCCTTCTCAACATTTTCCCCCACTGCTCCACAGGCTCCTTTCTCAACAGATAAAACTTGTTGGGTAATTCCAGGGCTGGGAGCACAGGAAGATAGTGGGAAAAGGAAAGCGAAGGGGGAACCCTTCTCCTTTTTATTCCACCTGTTTTAGGGAGGGATGGGCAGCAGAAAAACCCATCCTGCAGGTGCAGGAGCAGGAGCAGGAGCGGAGCCTCACCTGCAGTCGGAGTATCCCGGGATATGTGGAGATCGAGGGCTGTCACTTCCTCCCCACGGTCCAGGCGACACAGCAGGTCAGGCTTGGGAATGGGGAATTCTGGAAAACAGAATTTGTCATGCCCAGAGCTTGAGTTTGTGGGGAAAACCAGAGCTTTTCCAACTGCAGGAAGAGGGTTTAGTGCTTTCCTCTACAATAACGTAATGGAAAAGTTGATTCCCACTGGCCCCCCTGCCTTTCCTCTCCTCCTTGGGGAGTAGCAGGTGGGTGAAGATTCCAATCATTCGTTTATTATTACTCCTGGAGGATGGCTTGGGAAAAGGGGGATTTGCCCTGCCCTGCACCCCAACAAGGTGAATCATCCATTCCACCCCCAAATTTTCCTCCGGGAAGGGGAGGGCTCCTCACCCAGTGCCATCAGTGTCTCGTAGCTCTCCTGCATCACGTCGCGATACAGAGCTCTCTGTCGTGGGTCCATGGCCGGGCTCTGGGAGCCCAGAAGAGAGGATCAGGCACTGAAAATTTAATGGATTATTATTCCCTAATAGGACAGTGGCAAGGCCAAGACTGTGGGACGAATGGTGAACAAACCTGTCCATCCTTCTGCCCCACAGTCCTGCAGGAAATTCCCAACTTTTGCCCGTACTGCCTTAGGAATTTTCCTTTTTTTCCAAAAATTAAAAGGCAGAAAGAAGCAGGAAGGGAAAACAGAAACGCAAGGATTCCTTAGAAAGATTCCTTGAAACAGAATAAATGAAGGAATAAGAAAAGGAATAAAATGCCTTTCAGGAAGAACAAATTTCTGTCGTCTGCAGACGGGGCTCTGCTGAGAGATCCGGACCCTAAAATTAATTTTCACCTGAATTTTACCCACACAGCTCATTCTCAATGCACCAAACCCTGGGTGCTCAACCCCAGAGTCTAGGAATCTCTTTCCAGAGAATCCTGTCACAAATTTTCCAGATCATCCCCAAACCCCCTCATTAATCACTTCTCCTGCCCATTTTTTCCCCATTATCTCTGAGACTTAGGGGGAAAACTGGAGTTTTCCCAGCTGTAGGAAGAGTGTTTAATGCTTTCCTTTACAAGAATCACGGAAAAGCAAATTCCCATTGTCCCCCCATCCTTCCTCATCCTCCTCAAGAAGCAGCAGGTGCATAAAGATCCCAGTTAATTTAGTTTTTATCCATTTATTATTATTCCTGGAGGACAGGTTGGAAAATGATGGATTTGCAGGTTCCGAATAACTTACTGATGGCGGGAATAAACGCCATCACGTTTTCCAGCACGGATCCCTCCTGCTATTTTTCCCTTTATTTTTATGTATTTTGGAGCCCCCACCAGCATCTCACGCCACTTCATTTATTCCTCGGTGTTTTGCCATCCTGCTAAAACAAATGGAAATAAAGGGGTCGACATATCCGAAGGGAACCCCCCGAGGGGGAAGGACAACGGGGTGGATTTTGAGGTGGAGAGTGTTGGGATTTTTTTATCATTTTCTCCCTTCCCTGGGACCGGAGAGAGGGAAATCCAGGACCCTGAGGGAAGGATGGAGGAGGGAAGGACGGGGATGGGGAAAAATAAGCCATTTTTCTGCCTTTTTTTCCACATCCCAACCCGAATCTCGTTACCTGCAGGTCCGGCTCGGGAGGTGCTGTCGGCAAAGCCCCCCACCCACCTCCCCGCCCCTTTATTTTTCCCAAAAAAAGCCCCTTTTCCCCCTAAAAAAGTGGGGACGCACACGTGGGGAGCGGATGAGCCTGGTCCCTCCGATATCCTAAGCGATAAGAGTTAAAAAAAGGAAGGAAGGACAGAAGGAATTTAAAAAAAAAAAAAAAAAAAAAAAAAAAAAAAAAAAAAAAAAAAAAAAAAAAAAAGGAGAAAAGGGCTGTGCAAAATGGCCGGGGCCCTCTGGCGGCAAGAGCCGCGAGTATGGGCGGAAATTTAAAAAACAAAAACCAACCAAACAAAAAAAATCCCCGACTTTGCTCAGTGAAAAAAAAAAAAAGGCTCTTTAATGTCCTGGTGGGGTGTTTGTTTCCTAAAATGTGAAAAAAAAAAAAAAAAAAAAAAAGTGGTTCTGGGGTTCTCCCGCCCCTCTGTGGCTAAGAGTCACTTTGCTTGTGGGGGCTGCGGAGTGACCCCCTACGTTTATTGGTACTAAAGGATCAAGGCTAATTTTGGGGTAAAACCCCCTAAATTTAGAGCCGGGGGAGGTGCTGGGTGTGTTTTAACCAGTGTGGGGAAGGGGCTGCAGGACCCCCCCATTGCGGCGGCATTGCACAGCAGGAGAAGGGGCGGCTTTTTGGGGTAAAAAGGGAGTTTTCTGTCAACGGGGGCATGTCGCGACATCAATGAATACCCCCCAAAATGTGCTAAACCCCCCCATGAGGAGTTTGGAGGCCACAATGTCGTTTCCCCTCGCCCCAGCTCCGCGGGCTCTGCCTCCCCACAGGGCACGTCGCCATGGCAACGGCGGCGGGCTGCCCTCACCCAAGATGGCGCCCAGGGCTTCACGCCGCGGGCGGCATCTCGAGCCGGGCCGCGCGGGCAGCAATGGGGAGGGGCAGCCCGCGGCCATTTTCCCTCGCGCCCTGCCTGAAGGCGAGGCCGCCATTTCGGAAGAGGGCAGTCCCTCTCTGACTCCAAATTAACCATTTTTAACCCCAATTTCTGCCCTTCCCGGCCTTATAGTAAGGAAATATTTCCTCGCAAAACCAATCTCATCATGACGAACAGTGAGGAAGCTTAAAGAAAGCCAGGTAAACGGTGCTGTTGTGCTCTCCATCTCTCCCATGGAGGAGGGATTGCTCCCAGTGGGGATGTAAATCCCTGAATCCCCTGGGAAAGGGCTGATGGCGGTTTTGTACCTCTGGAGGTTTTGAGTAATTTTTCCCTGAATTAAGGTTACTGGAGCGGATTTCTGACACTCGCGGGGACACGGCAGAGAGGCTGATGCTGTGAAACCCCCCCTCCAAAACCCTCCACTATCATCCCCTCATGCCAGGAAGCCCCAAAATAATATAGAGACCACCAAAACAACCACACGGCCCTCTGTATGCCCCCCTTCCCCTCACTACTGTCAGGGGTCTGGGACCGTCCTAAAACCGATAGGGAACGCTACCCTCCCAGCACCCTACAGGTTCCCGTACGCCCCCAACCCTATAGCGACCCCAAAAAAATCTTATACACCCCAACAGACCTCCTCACTCCTATAGGAATTTCCCCACTTCATCCTATACCCCCTGATACACCCACCCTAATCCTACAGTCCCCAGAACCCATCCTATAAACTCCGATAGACCCCCCGGAATCCCATAATAACGAAGCCGCAAAAATATTCTGTAGACCTCGATACATCTCACCTAATCTACGGGAACTGAGACATCCAATCTCCCCCTGCATTCTACAGGGAGCCCCTCAGTCTGAGCAGCCTGCAGAGGACTCTTCCCCTTTCCCAGCACCCCACAGACCCCAATACCCCTCCTCACAGCCCGCAGAGATCCCCAATCCCCTCACGCCATTGTGACTCCCAGGCCCCTCCTATGGAGCCTTATGGGCATCGCCCCCCCCGCCCGCTCCGCGCGGCTCTTTCCCTTCCTGCGCAGGCGCAGCCCCGCCCCTTCCCGCGGCGCAGGCGCAGCCCCGCCCCTTCCCGCGGCGCAGGCGCGGGCCGCCCCTCGGCCTTCAGTCGGGCGGCGGTGCCGTGCGGAGGGGACTCGCAGACTTTGGGGACTCGTTGTCGTTACCGGCGCCACGACCGGGACCGCCACCGGGACCGCGGGCGCCATGGAGGCGCCGCCCGCGCCCCCCGCCGCGCCCCCCGCGCCCTGCAGCGCTGCGCGGAGCCTGCAGGACGAGCTGACGTGCCCCGTGTGCCTGGAGTACTTCAACGATCCGGTGCTGGTGGCCGAGTGCGGGCACAACTTCTGCCGCGCCTGCGTGACCCAGTGCTGGGAAGACTCGGCACGGCGCCTCTGCTGCCCGCAGTGCCGCGAGCCCGTCCCGCAGCGCCTCTTCCGCCCCAACCGCTCCCTTGGCAACATCGTGCACATCGTCCGCCAGCTGGGGCTGCCGCCAGGCCCCGCCGAGCCACCGCCGGGGCCTCCCGCGCCACCGCTGCCCGCGGCCGCCCCGTCCGGCCCGCCGGGGCCACCGCGCTGCCCGCGCCACGGGGAGCCGCTGCGGCTGTACTGCGTGCAGGACCGGCGAGCCGTGTGTGTCGTGTGTCACCTGTCCCGCGAGCACCGCGCCCACACTGTGCTGCCCGCCGAGGAGGCGGCCCATGCCGCGGAGGTCAGTGCCGGGACCCTCCCGCACAGCGCCTGGCTTGGGAGGGAGGACAGCGAGGAGGCCCCTGCCGAGGGGACGGCGGGGCATCCTGAGCCCTTCCCCGGAGAGGGAGAACGCTGCGAACCCCCTCGGGGTGCCGGGGGTAGTGAAGACCCTGCCCCCTCCCGGGTCTCTTTTGGGGTGCAGGCCTCCTCCCCCCTAAGAAATAGGGGACGCAGCGAGCGGGGAGGAGATCGGAAACACTCCCACCCGTAACTGGAGATGCCCGAGGAGATCTCACGGGGTGGGGGTGCACCAGGAGCTCCCCCTCCATGGGGGGACGCGGCCCTTGGGTGCAGTGGGAGCCCCCAGTTCCACGGGCGAGCACAGATATGAGCTCCCAGCCCCCGCCACGTGTGGGGTGCAGTAAGGGCCCCTCCAGGCTGCATGAATCCCTCGGGGGGGGATCCCCTCCCCAGCTGGGCGCTGCTCCCAGGATTCGGGGCGCAGGAGGACCAGAATCACCCCAAAACAGGGACACGCAAGGGTAGGGTGCGAGATCGAACTGGGTTAACTGGGAGAGTACTGGGAAAGGGGTGTCCCGGGGGCGGGGATCGTGCAAAATCCCACCAGGCCCCCCCGGAATCCAGCAGCCGAGGCAGCCCCGAGCTGCAGCCGGGGTGGGGAGCAGGGGGCTCCTTATCCCAGCGGCCCGATCCCGATCCAGGCTGGAAGTGTCGCAGGACTCCCCCAGGAGCCGCCTGTCCCCCCCCCCGCAACCCGAGGGAGCTTGGGGAGTGACGCAGAGCGAAAACGGCGCTGGCCTGGCCCCCGCCATGTCGCGATATGGGGCGTGTCGTGATCACAGCGGGGATTAATTTTAATTAATTAAGTGCGCCAGGGCTCGGTGTGGGCGGCCAGGCCTCGGTGCTCCAGGCCGGGAGCAGCGGGTCCAGAGGGATCCAAGATGCCGGACGGAGCCGATGTCGCTGCGCAGTGGCAGCAGGAGGAGGGTGGCACCAGCACGATCCCGAGGGATCAGGAAAGGGCATTGTGGGATCATTAGCCACATATTAATCGTTGTGGTTATTAAATACTTTTAGAGACGATTTGGGTTAGGGTTAGGAACTGCCGTGGTTCCTCTTCCGGGGATGCTGGGGCCGCCCCCCCCGCCCCGAATCTGGGATTTTGCCCTTTTTTCATGACACAAACGTCCTTCGGCAGATCCAGGTTGCCAGTCCCTTGAGTTTTTTTTCCCCCCTCGTTAAGCTACTTTTTTGAGTGTTTAGTAGTTGGTTGTTGCTGAGCTCCTCCCATTTCTTTTTTTTTTTTCCGGATACTTGCTTTAATCTCATGGATAAATTCCAAAGGCAGCAACTTCTGGCTCTTAACAGTCAAAATGCTTGTATTTTGGGTTTTAGTTATAAAATAAGTGGATTTATTTGCCCCAAGGCCAGCTATAGTTTGCATGGTATTGATGGGGATTCTCTGCCCTCCATGGAGGTCAAACTACTTAAATAAGGATGAGTTTAATTAATAATTTATCACTAATTCAATGAGCAGTTTGGAAGCAGCAGTTCTTCCTCTTGGGGGTGGGTCCAGCCTAATTTTGGGGCACCTTGAGGAGGGGGGAACGTGAGAGGTAATCCTGGGAGGAGG